TGCTTTCATAGACGACATCTTAATTGAGTCAAAGGGAACAAGAATAGAGCACAATGCACTAGTTTGAAGATTTTTGAAGCATAATTTTTGAAGAAGTTGGGTGTATCAAACGTTTCCTTAAAACTACGGAAATGCGAGTTTGCAAAACAGATTGTGAATGGTTAGGGTTCCGAATCGGAAAAAACGGCATCGCACCATTGGTTCGGAAAACTCAAGCAGTAGAAGATTTGAAAACCCCGAAATCTAGGAAACAACTGAAATCACTAATGGGTTTTATGCAGTGTTTGCATAAATTTTTACCGAAACTCGCTGAAGTCAGGGCACCGTTACGACCGTTACTCAGTCAGAACAACGATTTGGTCTGGACACCGAATTGCGAGAATGCGTTTCAAAAATTGAAATCACTAGTGAAAAACATTGTAGAGCTTAGGCATTTCGATATTCAACGTGAGACTAGAATAGTTTGTGATGCTAGTCACGATTGCCTAGGTGCCGTGTTAGAACAGTACGGTGCCAGCGGTTGGCATCCAATTTCGTTTGCGTCACGCTATCTTAATCCAGCCGAGAAAAAATATTCTACGAACAAATTGGAGTTACTCGCGGTAATGAGGGCAACGGAACATTTCCGAAACTATATCTACCGACATTATTTCACGGTTATATCGGATCACAAGGCGTTACTTACACTATTAAATTCATCACCAAAAAGAAATAAAACATTTTTAGTCGGCTAACTCGATGGTACGATCGTTTGGTAGCGTATGCTTTCATAGTTGAACATATACAGGGGTCAAAAAAGGGAATGGAAGAATATTTGTCTCGGTTTCCATTTGCAGCGGCACCCGAAACAAGTCATTACGATGAAAGTTTTACAGTAGCGAAAATAAAAATGATAAAAGATGCATTAAATCCTGGGGACCAGTTAAATCCTAGGGGTCAAAAAGTGAAACAAATTCGAAAAATCTGACGGTAGAGGGCGGACGATCATGCTTGTACTCAAAGAGAAAGGTTGTATCCAATGAAAATAGAGGGAAATTAGAATATGCAAATAGTAACCGTGAGAGCAAGCGCTCACTAGAGGGCGTGGTTACATGCAACTGGCAGTTAGCCAATCACAATCGAAATATTTGCATACCGGAGGAAATATTTAAATTACGAAGAAAGAAAATCAAGTTGTTCTCAGTACTTAAAATCAAGTTGTCGATTGAAAGGAAAAATAATCAATAAAAGTATGTCATCTATAAATTCTCCAGAGAAAACCGATCCGAAATACCTTCTGCTATTGTAAATACCTCGACCCATTCCGGAAATGTAAACCTCAATGTAGTATTAAACAGAGTGCAAAATCAACCGCCGAGTTTGAATTCAGATTCCGATATAGAAGTTAAACCTCCAGATAAAATTATTCAGAAAAGCACTTTTTCAAAAAAACTCAAAACCATTAATTCATTCCCGCATCAATTTCCCGGATTGTCTTATCCCCTTGTACATACTGATAATTTGATTTTTTTAATAGTACCTACTGATGTTCGAACAGTTAAGAAAATTGATTACCCAGAAAATCTAAATTTAAAATTAGTGGAAGCTAATTTGGATAAAGGTCCTATACTAAAAACAATTCACGACGCGATACAAGACAAGAACCCACGGGCCAAGGATAATATCGCCAAACAATACTAAGTTCAACATTTCAACGATTTCGCTGTGCGCGAAAATTGTTTGTGGATGGATGGCCGACTGGCCATACCGAAGGACATGTCATCAGCAGTTTTGAACCGATTGCATAACAACCATCACGGGCGGGACAAAATGTTCGCGGCGGCGAAAGATGTCTAGATACCGCTCATGCAGAGGAACCTCGCGGCCACAGCAAAATACTGTAAAAGCTGCCTAGAAGCAGGTAAACACCTTAAACCGCACATTCCAAAAAATGATGTGGGGGACACATATGTACGTAGGTAACCTAATGATCTTGTTCAATTGGAATTTTGGGGTCCTGTAAAGTATGTACAGGGTCGAAAGAATTATGTTCTAGTAGCGATAGATACGTTCTCACATTGGCCGTCGGCTTATGTTTGCTCAAGTAACAAATCTAAAAATGTGTTAAAATTCCTAAGGAAACACATAAATACACATGGTCACCCAAGGAAATTACATATGGATCAAGCAACCGGATTCTTTTCGAAAGATATAAAAAATTTCTGTAATTATGAGGGCATTGAACTCATAAAATTTCCAGTTAAGGACCATTGCGCTACGGGGATGGTCGAAAGGACCATCGGCTCGATAAAAAAACTACGTCCTAATATACCTACGGGAAAATAAGAACTATAAATTTGGATTGATGATCTCCCGAGCGCTGAGCGCTTTACGATTTGTGCCGCATTCTAGAACTAAAGTGACGCCATTTCACACTTATCATAGAAGAGAATCTAACTTGGAAAAATGTAATTAACCAGAAATTACAATGTTAAGAGTAGAGCAAGGCGAGTGGTCTACCCAAAGTGGAACTAAATCTCGACTGGGAGAAGCGCAGCGATCTCGTGTACGCCTCTGAAAAACGAAGGACGCCGAGGATCCTGGATGAGAACGAATTAGCTGAGGCTGAAGTGGAACCTAAGGCGCCAGAGTTACCCAAGGCACCAGAGTGGCTAAAGCGCCTTAGGACAAGCACCACGACGGTCTACCAACAGACCGGGAAAACGGATCCAAAAAACCCAAGGAGGTATAAACGTTTTCCACTAAAAATTGAAAAAATGACAAAACATACGGTGCAAAATAAAAAAGGATCATTACTAAGGAGAAATGGTGTTTCGTTTAGATCGGCGGCTGAAGAGAGTAGAACTGAAAAGGGGACCGACGCTAATACCCCGGGGCCGATTAAACCAAAGGAACCTAAAAGTAATGCGGGGAACAACGGAAAGGAGTATCAAGAAAAGAAACGGGCGAAGACGAACAGTGAGGAGCGAAGAATCAAGAAAAAGCGAATAGTCGAGAGCAGCGAAGACGAGAGCGACGAGGAGGATGAGAGCGAATGGGCGGACGTGAGACGAGAAGGCGACGCAGAGAAAACGACAGCTACGGAAAACCAGGCGAGCGGGGCGGACGAACCGTCGGGAACGGAAAAAACGATAGTACCAAAAACCGTCGGTAACAAGAGAAAGTTGAGTGAGGCAGCAACGCGCCGATCGACGCGACAACCAAGAGGAGTGGACAAAACGGGTGGAGTGATGATTCACCGTATCGAGCGTGAATGAGTAAAAGAAAAAGAAGGACCCAGGGAGAGGGTTGGCAAGTGTGCCGAAAAACTCAAGTTGACACTAAACTGGAAACTTTAAAAGTTCTGCATTTAAAACTAAAACTGTGGATTAAAACTACGGAGAAAATTATGAGTATGATAAATTTATTTGTGGTTGCCCAAATGATATAGGGACCAGTTTTGAGTTTATGTAAGTTTATATGAGTTTGATCTTTCTGTCTGGGGACCTGCTGCTGTGACCTTGCGATCGCTATCGTCCGGCATAAGCTAAAACAGTGAAGTGAAGTAAAATTAAGTTTTGATACCATTCAGTTGCCTTATTCAATTAAACTTATTTTAACATACGTTTTGGAACTTCAACACTGCATAAGTTTTATCAGCATGGATTTTATATGTGATTTCAGAGAAAAAATAAAATGGCCAAGCTTAAAGGAAATACATTTGTTCACTGCCACGCCATTGGTTAATGTTTCTAATTTTGTCTTATTTCTTCTTTTTTCAAATTGTTAATAAAATCTATATATAATTTTAATACATAGGACCCTGGATCAGGGACCCATCCGTTTATGTATTCTTCTGCCTTGTGTTTCATAGCAATTTCGATCCAAATTTGGATAAAATTCATTTTCTTTTTTTGATTATTTAGGGGGATGTAACCGAAAAGACACATATTTTATCAAATGACTTGAATTGATTTTTCGTCAAACAAGGCGTTTTGTCAACTGTGCTTGCAATGAAGAAAAAGGACGTCTAAATCTCTGTCGTCCAAATTTCTAATCTTCTTATCGATCTAGCACCTGCCGCTAGTAACACTCGACATTTGCAGGTCACACGTTGTTCAAATTAGTTTGTTCACGTCTCGTGTACTTTATGACTATCTAAAACTGGCATGTATTAGACACACATTAAGCCGACGCTGTGTAGAGTGAACAAAAAATGTGATCATACAAGTTGATGATTTTATGTCGGTTTTGTTGTGGTATTTTTTTCATTGAGATCTTCTTTCAAAATCGCTGGTCTTCTTTGCTGTACAATGATCTTCCAAGCGTTCGGAATGTTTGTTTTATTCAACAATTTAACTAATTTCGACAACTTAAACAACAATCTAAGAAACTTACAGCAATGAGCAGTCGCCTTAACGCAGCTTCGTCTCACCTCTGACTGACCTGCCGTCCGTTGCGATTTTGTGGCTGGATTTATGAATGCCCAGAGGTTCTTTGAGCCGAACGCCTAACAGCCGAAAACTTAAATCATAGTTTCAAAAATTTAGGGTTACTGAAAAAGAACAACATAATTAAAACTTTCATTCAGCGCCTGTAATCAAAGTAATCCTATCGCTTTTTGTTCACATTCTTTGATATTTCAGGTCTTCGGTTTGTTTGATTTAGAGTTAAAAGACCCACGTAGAGTAAAAAGTAATTTCCCTGTAAAGGACCTGTGACCAGGTTAAAGAATATAAGGAAAAGGAAGCAGTAAAGGCCCGAATAAATTTAAAACATTTGTCTCCCATTTCTTTTCGGTTAACTATCTCAAGAATTTCCACACTTGGCTAGCCAAATTGGCAAATTGCTCAACTATTTATTTGACTTGGCTCTGGTGTTTAGTGTCTTGTCCAACTTTACGGCAAAGACTGAAACTTGTAATAATTTATCTTATCATTTTCAATTTCGTTCCTCTTCGCCGTTTTGACCGCACCCCAAATTCTAAAATCAGGTTTGAACAATCTTAGCTATTTCAGTAATGGCATGCAGGTTTGATACAAAGTTGATTTCGTCATAAAATGGTGATAGATAAGGAGTCTCTAGAAATTTCCGTCGTCTGCTGTTAAATTTTGCAGGTCTAAAAATGCACCTCGTTATGCACCCTCGTTAGGCCTCTTAAATCCACCCGGGGTCGAGGTTGTGCTTTTATGACGGTCGCGCCCAAATTTTGGTATTTCCAGACTGCCGCGACCAAAAATGAATATTTTCAGACCACCGCGACCAAAATTTGGTATTTCCAGACTTTGCGGACCGAGGCAATGAGTCCGCGACCGAAGGTAATTTAACCGCGACTGGTCGAAAATTTAGTCGCGGCGGTCAAAAAATTAGTCGCGGCGTGATCAAAAAATTAGCCCCGGCATGGTAAAAAAATTAATCGCGTCGGTCGAAAAATTAGTCGCGGCGTGATCAAAAAATTAGCCCCGGCATGGTAAAAGAATTAATCGCGGCGGTCGAAAAATTAGTCGCGGCGTGGTAAAAGAATTAATCGCGTCGGTCGAAAAATTAGTCGCGGCGTGGTAAAAGAATTAATCGCGTCGGTCGAAAAATTAGCCCCGGCATGGTAAAAAAATTAATCGCGTCGGTCGAAAAATTAGTCGCGGCGTGATCAAAAAATTAGCCCCGGCATGGTAAAAGAATTAATCGCGTCGGTCGAAATATTAGTCGCGGCGTGGTAAAAGAATTAATCGCGTCGGTCGAAAAATTAGTCGCGGCATGGTAAAAGAATTAATCGCGGCGGTCGAAAAATTAGCCCCGGCATGGTAAAAGAATTAATCGCGTCGGTCGAAAAATTAGTCGCGGCGTGGTAAAAGAATTAATCGCGTCGGTCGAAAAATTAGCCCCGGCATGGTAAAAAAATTAATCGCGTCGGTCGAAAAATTAGTCGCGGCGTGATCAAAAAATTAGCCCCGGCATGGTAAAAGAATTAATCGCGTCGGTCGAAAAATTAGTCGCGGCGTGGTAAAAGAATTAATCGCGTCGGTCGAAAAATTAGTCGCGGCGTGGTAAAAGAATTAATCGCGTCGGTCGAAAAATTAGCCCCGGCATGGTAAAAAAAATTAATCGCGTCGGTCGAAAAATTAGTCGCGGCGTGATCAAAAAATTAGCCCCGGCATGGTAAAAGAATTAATCGCGTCGGTCGAAATATTAGTCGCGGCGTGGTAAAAGAATTAATCGCGTCGGTCGAAAAATTAGTCGCGGCATGGTAAAAGAATTAATCGCGGCGGTCGAAAAATTAGCCCCGGCATGGTAAAAGAATTAATCGCGTCGGTCGAAAAATTAGTCGCGGCGTGGTAAAAGAATTAATCGCGTCGGTCGAAAAATTAGCCCCGGCATGGTAAAAAAATTAATCGCGTCGGTCGAAAAATTAGTCGCGGCGTGATCAAAAAATTAGCCCCGGCATGGTAAAAGAATTAATCGCGTCGGTCGAAAAATTAGTCGCGGCGTGGTAAAAGAATTAATCGCGTCGGTCGAAAAATTAGTCGCGGCGTGGTAAAAGAATTAATCGCGTCGGTCGAAAAATTAGCCCCGGCATGGTAAAAAAATTAATCGCGTCGGTCGAAAAATTAGTCGCGGCGTGATCAAAAAATTAGCCCCGGCATGGTAAAAGAATTAATCGCGGCGGTCGAAAAATTAGCCGCGGCATGGTAAAAAAAATTAATCGCGTCGGTCGAAAAATTAGTCGCGGCGTGGTAAAAGAATTAATCGCGTCGGTCGAAAAATTAGTCGCGGCGTGGTAAAAGAATTAATCGCGTCGGTCGAAAAATTAGTCGCGGCGTGGTAAAAGAATTAATCGCGTCGGTCGAAAAATTAGTCGCGGCGTGGTAAAAGAATTAATCGCGTCGGTCGAAAAATTAGCCCCGGCATGGTAAAAAAATTAATCGCGTCGGTCGAAAAATTAGTCGCGGCGTGGTAAAAGAATTAATCGCGTCGGTCGAAAAATTAGCCGCGGCATGGTAAAAAAAATTAATCGCGTCGGTCGAAAAATTAGTCGCGGCGTGGTAAAAGAATTAATCGCGGCGGTCGAAAAATTAGCCGCGGCATGGTAAAAAAAATTAATCGCGTCGGTCGAAAAATTAGTCGCGGCGTGATCAAAAAATTAGCCCCGGCATGGTAAAAGAATTAATCGCGGCGGTCGAAAAATTAGCCGCGGCATGGTAAAAAAAATTAATCGCGTCGGTCGAAAAATTAGTCGCGGCGTGGTAAAAGAATTAATCGCGTCGGTCGAAAAATTAGTCGCGGCGTGGTAAAAAAATTAATCGCGTCGGTCGAAAAATTAGTCGCGGCGTGGTAAAAGAATTAATTGCGTCGGTCGAAAAATTAGTCGCGGCGTGGTAAAAGAATTAATCGCGTCGGTCGAAAAATTAGCCCCGGCATGGTAAAAAAATTAATCGCGTCGGTCGAAAAATTAGTCGCGGCGTGGTAAAAAAATTAATCGCGTCGGTCGAAAAATTAGCCGCGGCATGGTAAAAAAAATTAATCGCGTCGGTCGAAAAATTAGTCGCGGCGTGGTAAAAGAATTAATCGCGTCGGTCGAAAAATTAGTCGCGGCGTGGTAAAAGAATTAATCGCGTCGGTCAAAAAATTAGTCGCGGCGTGGTAAAAGAATTAATCGCGTCGGTCGAAAAATTAGCCCCGGCATGGTAAAAAAATTAATCGCGTCGGTCGAAAAATTAGTCGCGGCGTGGTAAAAGAATTAATCGCGTCGGTCGAAAAATTAGCCGCGGCATGGTAAAAAAAATTAATCGCGTCGGTCGAAAAATTAGTCGCGGCGTGGTAAAAGAATTAATCGCGGCGGTCGAAAAATTAGCCGCGGCATGGTAAAAAAAATTAATCGCGTCGGTCAAAAAATTAGTCGCGGCGTGATCAAAAAATTAGCCCCGGCATGGTAAAAGAATTAATCGCGGCGGTCGAAAAATTAGCCGCGGCATTGTAAAAAAAATTAATCGCGTCGGTCGAAAAATTAGTCGCGGCGTGGTAAAAGAATTAATCGCGTCGGTCGAAAAATTAGTCGCGGCGTGGTAAAAGAATTAATCGCGTCGGTCGAAAAATTAGTCGCGGCGTGGTAAAAGAATTAATTGCGTCGGTCGAAAAATTAGTCGCGGCGTGGTAAAAGAATTAATCGCGTCGGTCGACAAATTAGCCCCGGCATGGTAAAAAAATTAATCGCGTCGGTCGAAAAATTAGTCGCGGCGTGGTAAAAGAATTAATCGCGTCGGTCGAAAAATTAGCCGCGGCA